ACATGCTTCGGAAATAACCCTGGAGCACAAATATTGGAAATATTTTTCGATTTTTCAAAATTTTTTTTTTTTTCGCGGTAATTTTCCAGGCCGAGCGGGCCTTAGGGCCGGGCCCGGCCCGACCCTTCACAAGTATGGGAAAATTCTGCTTTGGTCCCCCAAGTTAGGGTATTTTTTCAATCTCAAGTTCATTTCAGTACCCTTTCCTCAACGACGAAATTCTCCAAGTGAAGGAGAACAATCAGTTGGTGTCACCAATATTTGAGCATGTGGTTCATGCAGACTATCCGGATAGCTTGTTTTTTATTGGTCAGTTTTTTTATTGGAATTTCTCGCAAGCAAAGGGCAACTTGCCACTTAATGGCAAGCAAGAGGCAAGTTGCCCAGTCTACAGCAAGCTAACAGTAAGCTGTTGTTGCGGCAAATTGCCCTTTTTAGGAGAATTTTGCTGCATGCTGGCAACTTGCCTATTCCGACAAACACGGCAAATTGCCGATACTAATGATAAATGTAAATTATGTTCCAGGCCTGAACCTCGTCACCATCACATTCCCATTATTCGAATATCAAGTGAAGATGGCTCTTGCATTTGCCACTGGAAAAGCGCCAATTCCAGATAGACAAGTATTGATTGATTACGAGAGGAATCAGATTGAGTGAGTTTTGGGAAAATAGACAATTAGTTATTGACATTTTTTATGGGGTCGTGATAATATATTTTTCCTACCGCTATAAACTACAAAAAATCAAGCATTGCACTGCTCATCTGTGGACACAGTGATTTTTTTTCGTACGTGTTTTCAAAAGGTTTCCTTCGCGGGCTCTGTCTTACTGTAGGATCGCATGCTAACTGCGTGGCGACTCAGCGATACGTAGGCATTTTTCTCATTTTGTTGAAAAATTAAAAATCAGGGCCTGAGCTTTTTTTGAATCAAATTGAACAGAAATTTTTCTTCGCATAATGTTGAATATAATATTGACAGAATTTGATCGGAAGTTATCACTGAAAAGTGCTCTGGAAACATGGTGCGCGCTCCTTCGGCTTAAGCGCGGCTTACTATCAGAATTTAAAGACGCAATATGAAATTTGTAAAGGCCGTGTGAGATGGAGCGTAGAAACCGAGAAAAAATTGTTCGTACAAAAAAATTTACCGTGCCGACAGTTTTTTTCAGTTCAGTTTCCCTACTTGTCGCTCACGCTGGGAAATCTGGCCCAAATTTGAATCTTCGAAAAAAAAATAGTTGAAGATCAGACTTTGATGGCTATGCTCGCATTTTTGTAGTTTCTAGCAACATTGAACGCACCATACAACTAAAAACAATTACAGCTGGTCCAGTAGAGCGCATTTTCACTTTGTAATTCCAAAAAAAAAATTATTCCAGACACCAAAAATCCCGAGGCCTAGAGACCCGTTTCTACCATCTCCTTCAAAATGAGCAATGGGAATATTTGAGACGAATTGCGAAAATCGGCGGGTTCGAAGAGTGGCCATACATGAAAACCATTGAAAACATCACTCAATATCTTCATGAACAACGGAAAAGTAATGTGATTGGATACAAGAATATTAACTTCAAATTGAGTGATGACGGTATGGATTATGAGGTTGTTAGGTGCTGATTTTTGTGTTTATTTGGAGCAATTTCATAAAAAAATGAGATCAAAATCAATAAAGACATGGGATATTTTTTGGTTCAACAGGGCAGAATTTGTACACGCTTACAAAAAAAAGAAAAAATCAAAATCGATAACTCGGTTCCTTCCCACCATTTTCGTCCCATGACACAAATTCGAAACTTCTCGATGAATACCGAAAAGAGCCGATTTTCTTCTGCGGGTTCTCAATATTGTCAAAGTACTCCTCCAGGTCTTGCTCATGGAGCTCCGACCAGATATTGTATGGGACCCGAATAGGGATACGATGGGGTTCACAACTGATTTGGATTTGTTTATAGGTCAGGTGACCGGATGCCCAGTTCTGAAACGTTTTGAGTTTTTGATCTACCCGTTGTATCTCCGTCAGTCCTGCTCCGATTTCAACAATTTTTATGCCATTTGAATCAGCTCGCCGAGACGCTTCGAATAAGTATAATCATGATATTTTTTGAAAAATAATTATTTTTGGGTCTCGCCACGAAAATTGAAAAACTACCGTATTTTGTCTAGTTTCCATCGGGTTTCAATGGAAGTGGTACCATTTAAATCAGCGCATCAAGGCAGTTCGAATGAGTATAATCATGCCTGGGTTTTGAAAAAAAATTTTTTTGGTCTCGACACGAAAACAGTATGGGTAGGTCAAAAATCAAAAATTTTTAAACCTAGCCATGTCTAGTCGAAATAATTGCATTTGGAGCAAAACTGACCGTTTTTGAAGTTTTTTGATCTACCATGCACTGTAGCCAAAAGACACCGTATCTCCGTCAATTTTGCTTCGACTTTAATAATTTTTATAGCGTGAAAATCAGCGCGTCAAGGCGGTCCGAATGAGTATAATCATGACTGGGTTTGAAAGAACTTTCATTTTTGGTCTCGACACGAAAGGCATTCGGGTAGGTCAAAAAACATTTTTTTTTTCAAACCTAGTCATGATTATACTCATCCGAACCGCCTTGTTGCACTGATTCTCATGACATCAAAATAATTGAAATTGGAGCTAAACTGACCCAAATTTCTCACCTGAATCATTTTCTTCGCGTGCTTCAACTTGATATTATCCTCGATTGTGTCTGCATGAATTCTCACTATCCTCGACTCTACAAGCTGATCCAGGTCTATTGGGATTCCAAACAATCGGAGTTCTTCCAGATTCGGAAATTTCTGAATTAGAAAAAATCGATGGACCCCTTGATTCTAGAAATTTTACCTTTAAATTTAGTACTCCCCGTTTTGAAAAGCGTTGATTTGGTTGAAAAAGCGTCAACTTTTTGGGTTGGAGACGTTCAGCAAGTTTTAGGTATTCCACTTCATCAGATACACCGAAATCCTGGATTTTGTACGGATAGGTGTCGAAGAGGTGGGCCAGGCCGGGCTGAAAATGAAAGATGAATGATTTGGGAGCAAGGGCGAGAGAAGAAAAAAAAACAAAAAAAAATTGACCCTTGAGGAATCGAACCCGCGCCCTGAGATTGGTGGGCAAAACTGTTAGCCACTACGCTACGGCGATTGGCGCGTCTGGCGTACAGCGCCGCGCTTTCTCTTCTACCGCAGTGTGCGTGGTGGTGTAGTGCCTAACCAATTTGCCTACCAATCTCGGGTCGCGGGTTCGATTCCACATGGGTCAATTCTTTTTTGCTTTTTTAATAAACCATACTTAGCATGCCGGTTTCCCACAAAACAGTCCCAAAAATCCAATTTGACTTACCACTCCCAAATGAATCTTCCGGAATTGAAACTTTTCCAAAATCCATTTCAATTTCTTCTCCAAATATTCTCTAGATGAAACCATCACTGACTGAGTGTTCTCTCTTCTCATTTCCCCATCATAATGTGTATGTACAACTGTCCGAACACCACTCTCTACTTTCAGCGTCCATTCCACAACGAAATCCTCGTCCATTTCGACGCGAATCGTGTAGAACTCCAAAAGAAAAGAACTCTCAATTTGTTTATCTCGACCTACTCCAACTGATATTTGTCCTTTAATAGAGAGGCATCTTCCCTCTTTTAGAAGGGCACAGTAATGGCCACGGAAGCGGGAGTTAAGTTGAGAAAGGGAGCGGAGAGATGTCCATTTGAGAAATGGGATTAGGTGTTGGAGGACCACATCGGGCAGGGTTCCCAAGGAGGATGAAGATGGGGAAATCTGAAAAATTTCAGTTTATTCCCATTGTATCTCGGTTAGTTTTACTCCAAATCCAATAATTTTAATAGAATGTGAATCAGCTCGTCAAGGCGGTTCGAATGACTATAATCATGACTGGGTTTGGAAAATTTTCTTTTTTTTTTAAATCTACCCATGCTAACACCAAAAATGAAAATTCTTCAAAACCTAGGCATATACTTTTTCTTACCGTCTTAGCAAGCTGATTCTAACGGTACCACTTGCATAAAAATTCGACAAAAACTAGCCGAAATATGTTAGTTTTCCAATTTTCGTAGTGGGACCCAAAATCGAAAAACTTCAAAACCTATTCATGATTGTACTCATTCAAACGGTCTTGACCCGGTAAACATATTGGTACTACCTTTCTTTGAATCCGACCAAAACTAGCAGAAATACGGTAGTTTTTCAATTTTCGTGGCGAGACCCAAAATTCAAAATATTTTCAAAACCTAGTCAAGACTATACTCATTCGGATCGTCTTGAACAGCTGATTCTAATGGTACCAGTTTCATTGAAATTCGATGAAATCTAGCTAAATATGTTAGTTTTCCTATTTTCGTGGTGGGACCCAAAAATCAAAATTTTTCAAAACCTCTTCTTGATTATACTCATTCGAACCGTCTTGACAAGCCGATTCTCATGCTATAAAAATAATTGTATTTGACATAAAATTGGCTGAAATAATGCCCTATCGGGTTAATCGTACCAAATTAAAAGGCGCATGATAGAATCATTCCGATTTCATGTGCTTCTAAAGTAATTTTTGAAAAAAATGAGCCTACCTCCACAATCTCTTCTTCCTCCTCCTCCATCATTTTTCCATTCGGAAGTGAAAGTGTTGATATCGATGTCATGATAATTATTCTGAGAGTATGTTATATGTATAATTGAATTCACCCGGTGAGGCGGCTGTCATCAATGAATAGACATGAGAGAAAAGGCGTCTGATGATGCTAATAAGCTGCCTCTGCAATAACCTGAAAACAGGGAAAAAAATTAATGGCAATGGGGGTCAAGTGAGACGCAGAGAAACCAGACCGAGAGAAAAAAAGGAAAAAAAATGATTTGACCCCAATGGGGATCGAACCCTTGTTGAAAATTTCCGAAACGAAGGCGCTATCAGCTAGGCCACGGGTACAACTGGCGCCAAGGAGGTGGACCTCCCTGTCGCTTGTAGCGCTCGTGGCCTAGTGGTTAGCGCCCCTGTTTTTGAAATTTTCATCGCGGGTTCGAACCCCACTGGGGTCAAATCTTTTTTTTTCTTTTTTTTAATACTTTTTTTCTGTTTCGTAAACTAAAATCAATTTTATATAAAAGGAAAATGGGATTCTTGAGAGGCAAAACGGATTAAGTACTGCCCGTGTATGAAGGAGGAGGAGGCAAATTAAAGGAGAGGGGGGAATGCTCTTGACAAGGAGAATGAAGAGCAAGAACAACTTGACAACAGGAATAAAAAGGGATGAGAGATAGATGGAGGAGCAGAGAAAAAAGGGACCTTTTCGCGCATAAATTTTTGAGACCCCCCTTAGAGGCTATGTGTGTAAACTTGGAAAGAAATTGGGAGAAAACTGAGAAGCTGAATGATTAATGAGGTATGAGGCGTTTCAGGAAATCTGAATTGTCGTGAAATTTGATGCAGAGTCTGCAAACACTATCACCTCAAAAAATAAAATATTTTCGATCCAATCTTTCCCAAGAAAAATTGCCAAAAAACCTTCAAGAGCTCACAAGAATGGCAAACTTTTTTTTCTGAACAAAAAAAACTGATAAGAGATCAGCGGTTAAGAATCATGGAGCATTTTATATGTTACTAATAAACATTGTAAAATCATCGTAACATCAAAAAAAATGTTGATAAGAAAAAAAATCAAGAGCATAAACAGAATAACATTAAAGACTATGTGCCAGAACCGAATTTTCGTGAAAAACTCATGGGAACCATGGAGCACAGATTTATGTACCTAGGCAACACAATATACACTATTGAACACAAAGTTTCGGAAAGTTTTACCTCTTTTTTCCTATCTTGTTAGTCATAGTTTTGTATACAAGAAATGTTTTGCCAGTAGCTGTGTATAAAATGTTGGTGACTCATGTTGAATATAGTAATGTACAAATTCAAATTTTGAAAAGGGCGGAGGAAAAGTTGTGCCACTAACTGAGAAGTCATGGCATGAAGTATAGGAATCAAGCGACTTAGAAGCTTGTCATAGAGTGAGAGTCACTAATCACGGTAAGCTAAAAGATTTTTCTGAGCTACGAAAAAACTGTCATTTTCAGAATTTATCTGAGTTTTGTAGAAAAATATTCAATTTCGCGGAGCATTCCCCCGAACGAATAACAAACATTTATTTTTAAAATTGTTACTAATGAAGGGAAATATAACCTCAATGTAATCGAAGGTTTTATATACATTATCTATTGACAGGGAAAACAAATTTATTTGTCACTACCAGAAGCGAAAAACGCAATGGACACCCTGAGAGTGGTATGAACCCATTCAACTGTATCTAAACCTATCTTACGCTTACGGTGTGAATGAATTCCCCCGTTTCATTTGATGATACGGGTGTCTATTTTGCATATATAGTCATATAATTTTCTAAAGCATGCTGAAGTCATTAGTACCTCTAACATGCAAAACCGTTCAGTAGATTTTCGCTGATTTTGAGCATGAGCCACACAGTCGAAAATTCGTGATGTATCAATCTGGAAAGAGGTTGTACAAAAATGCGGTTAACTACGAAAATGAGGCTCAAGCTATGCTTAATACACCCAAAAATTTTGGAGCCGTAGAATAATTTTTGACTCCGTGGCACGTGCTCAAAGTCAGCTCAAATTAGCAAAAATCAACTTGTAAAGTGTAAGAATTCGTATATTTTTGAACTAATCCTGGATATCTGACTGGAACGTGGTTACATAGAAAAAATTTCAACTACTAAAGTTTTTTACCGATTTTTTGAGCCTAAGGAAAAATTTTGACTATATTGCCCATGCTCAAAAATCGGCTCAAATCAACTGAACAGCGTCCACTAGAGCACATTTGTAACAAATTTCCCCAGGAAAAAAAAGAAAACAAAAGACAAAAGAGAACTACTTGAGAAAAACAAAAAGTGATTTTCTTGAAAACGTCTGCCTCTTTCTCTCGATTTCTCCCGTTTATTTGTTCCTCCTCCCGTGGGGGGAGGAGCTCCCGAGGGAAGAGAGAAAGGGAAAGCTTATTATTCGGATTATGTAAATATTTGCGAAAGAACACTTTTTTTATTTAATACTAATATCATAATTTTCTCGATTTTGCCTCTTTGAACAGAAAAAAAGTGAGAAAAAAAAAGAAAAATGAGCCTCCGTAAAGGAAAAAAAGATAAAGAGAGAGAGAGAGAGAGAAAAAGAGAGAAGGAGCTTGAAAAATTGAAAGGAAAGGCATGAAAAATGAGAGAAGGGAAAACACATGCATCCATGCATCTTGTTTTCTTTTTTCTCCACTTTTTTCTCTCTTTTTTCTGAAGGGGAGGCAAAAAAAGGAGGAAAATGAGTTTCCAGACAACAAGTTTCACTCGTGACCCTGGAATTTGTATTTGGTCTCTGAAATTCTCAAATTAGAGGTTTTGCAGCACCTCAGACAAAATAAAAAAATCATGTCAGCTTTAGAAAAAAAGAAAAAACGAATTACCCCCGGTGGGGTTCGAACCCGCGATGAAAGTTTTTAAAACAGAAGCGCTATCCACTAGGCCACGGGGACTATTGTCGATTGGAAGGCGGAGGAGGCTACAGGGGGAGACGCTGCGAACGCCCTTCACCTCCTTGTCAAAAGTGGTACCCGTGGCCTAGTGGATAACACTGCTGTTTTTGAAATTTTCAACGGGGGTTCGATCCCCATCGGGGTCAAATCTTTTTTCTTTTTTTCTAAACATGAAATGATTGTTTTACTTTGTCGGGAGTGTTGCAAAAACCTCTAAGTTCGAAAATTCAGTAAGAACAACCTAAAAATTGTTAGTTTTCAGAGACCTAATTCAAAGTTCCAGAGCCACGAGTACTTGGAAAAGCAAAGAGAAAGACAGGTGCCACCCTACAAAAGGTCGTTACTAGAGAGCTTCAATAAAAAATCCTAACCGGACTTCTGAAGCACCGGAGGCGCGGCGAGCCGAAATTTGGTATAAAATTCCAAATTGAGGTAAAAAACTGGTTAAATTGAGCAAATTTTGTCTAAATCTAGGGTCTATATGACCTAAAACTTTTCTAGAATAGCCTCATTTTTCCTACCACCCGGAAAAATTTCCCGGCTGGTCAGTGTGATGGAAAATTGATAAGAAAACAATTCTCTTGACACATTCTCTCTTTTCCCGAGGAAAAGACATTGAGTAGTTGTCTATCTGTTTGATTATGTGGGTGTGCATATGTCTCCTCCCGTCCCTCCCGAGAAAGTTTAAAGATACGAAGGGAGCACATGGTCTTCTTGCGGGAAAGAGAGAGAGAGAGAGAGAGAGGAGAAATGCCACCGACTACTAGGAAAAATCAGAAAATCGCAAATATCCTGGAGATGAGGGATAGGGAAAGTGAGAAATTGAGAGGATAAAGTGGCAATAATTTGACAACGGAAAAAAGATTTTCCTTAAAGGCGCAGCATGGATTCTGAGGCGAAAAGTCTAGATGTACAGGTCAAAATGCGTCGTTTTTTGCGGTTCTGCTGCCAAAATACACCGAGATACGATAAGAAACCTCAAATTGCTCAGAATAAAAATATTTTTAAACCTAGTCATGACTATACTCATTCGAACCGTCTTGATGAGCTCATCAAAACGCTCTAATTTTTATGGCCTTAGACCCAAAACTACCAGAATTATGGTAGCTTTTTTGGGTTTTCGTGGTAAGACCTTTCCAGAAAAAAATTGCATGCACCTTTAAGGTTCAAAAAATATTCCTAGATACAAAAGTTCACATTCTTTCCGAAAAAACATGGCAATTATATTCATGTGTTGAAGGGTATTATTTGTTTGTCTTTGTGTCTACCTACCTTCCCGCATAAAATATTTTCCCATTTTCACTTTCAAAACCATTTTGGCCATTGTTCGAGAGAAAGTGTTTGTTGTTTTTTGTTCTGTGCGGTCGGAACGGGTATTGAGAGGGTCAAAGTTCGGGGTTCAAGGTGTCCGGAGGATACCGTAGGGGTACAGTAATCCTGGAAGGTACGAGGGCCTATCGGACCCGATCAAGTCTGGGTTGGTACCCTTTCGGTCTGATAGGGCCCGATCTGGTCCGTTCCAATCTAGTCATGCCTGGTCTGGTCCGGTTCGATCTGGTCTGATCCGGTCCGGTCAAACCTGGTCTAATCCGGTCCGCTCCGGTCTGGTCCGGTCCGCTCCGGTCTGGTCCGGTCCGGCCCGGTCCGGTCCGGTCTGGTCTGGTCCGGTTCGGCCTGGTCCGGTCCGATCCGGTCTGGTCTGGTCTGGTCTGGTCTGGTCTGGTCTGATCTGGTCTGGTCTGGTCCGGTTCGGCCTGGTCCGGCCTGGTCCGGTCCGGCCCGATGTAGTTGTGACTGGTCCGGTCCGGTCCGGTCCGGTCCGGTCTGGTCTGGTCTGGTCTGGTCTGGTCTGGTCCGGTCCGGTCCGGTCCGGTCCGGTCCGGTCCGGTCCGGTCCGGTCCGATCCGGTCCGGCCTGGTCCGGTAAGATCTAGTCCGGTCTGGTTCGGTCCGGTCCGGTCCGGTCCGGTCCGATCTAGTCGTGCCTGGTCTGATCCGGTCCGATCTAGTCTGGTCCGGCCCGGTCCGGTCTTGTCAGGTCCGATCCGGTCTGGTCCGGTCCGGCCTGGTCTCGTCTAGCCCGGTCCGGTCCGATCTAGTCCGGTCTGGTTCGGTCCGATCCGGTCCGGTCCGGTCCGGCCCGGTCCGGTCTAGTCTGGTCCGGTCTGGTCTAGTCTGGTCCGGTCCTATCCGGTCCTGTGTGGTCTGGCGTGGTCCGGCGTGGTCCGGCGTGGTCTGGCCTGGTCCGGTTCGCTCCGGTCTGGTCCGATCCTTTCCAATCCGGTCTGCTCCAGTCCGGCCTGGTCCGGTACGATCTAGTCCGGTCTGGTCCGGTCCGGTATTATCCGGAAATCTGATAGCAATTGCTTTGGTTTTCTTGAACAATGTCAACATTTTTGTGTTCTGCATGCCAATATAAACGTGACAGTTTTCAAAGCCTAGTCCTCAATCGATAAAATCTCGGGTCACAAAAAAAGAACAATTATATTATTTCCTATACTTTTCCAACTTTTATTTCGAATACCTGCAAAGTTCATCACTGTAAGTGTTTTCCAATCATCTTCTCAATTAACTCCAATCTGTTTCCAGTACAATCAAAGAATGGCTACTCCTACTCCTCCGAAAAAACCCTTCGAATTGGAGTTAACCCCTTCAACGAAACCGGTGATAAACCCAGATGCCCCGTTCTCAATGACTGTGAAGAACAAGAGCGAGAAAATACAGCGAGTCGTAGTTGAAGTCGAGTCAATGTTATTTGAATTGAAGGAAGCGAGAGCAGAAGAATGGCCTCATACTCAGATTTATCACAAAGTGGAGCCTGGAGGAACAATGAGTTTTCAGATTGGTCTGGCGAATCTGGTAGGTGGAGGGAGGGCTCCGCGGCACTTCGCAACTAGATGTTTCGAAACTGGTATGGGCTAGCCGGTTAATATATTAGGTTGTAAGGAAAGTCTTGCACCAAGATTACAGTTTTCAAAATTTTTTCCGCCTTTCTCACCAATTTCTTCGGCCAATTTCTGAAGTTAAAATGTATATACTTGAGCAGTAACCGTATGACACTGTGACAGCAGTTCCCAGTGGAACATTCCTTTCATGGCCCACCAACAACGTAACAATACTTCCTTTTCGGGAAGATTCGGCTTTGGCTCTTTTGGTGATGGTTCTCCGCGAGGGAGCCAAATTTTTTTTTGCACGGTTAACGTACGAAATTCAGCTTTTATTACCAGTACACGCTCTCCTAGGATGGAAATAAGGGCAAGCCAATGTGGCAATCGTGGAATGTCAAAAAATAATTATTATTTCAACGTGATCAAAATTTTGAACTGGAATCTGGGTGATCTCAAATTCATGGAGGCTGGAAGCAAAATTTGAAAGATTTGTTCAACGGAAGTTGCAGACATCTAGATGAGGATCATTTTTAGGTTTTTACCAGCTTCCTACGTCAAGTCTGCTCTGAGTTAACCGGATTTTCAGTTTTTGCAGTAAGAACTAGGTTTTCAGACCTGGTTCGATTGTTTCAAGTGTACTTTATTTTCGAATGTGGCTATGTTTGTTACTGTCTAGGTAACCAACTCAATGAAAAGATATATTTCGACTCCAAAAACCTAGTTCTAACTGCAAAAACTGAAAATCCGGTTAACTCAGAGCAGACTTGACGTAGGAAGCTGGTAAAAACCTAAAAATGATCCTCATCTGGATGTCTGCCACTTCCGTTGAACAAATCTTTCAAATTTTGCTTCAAGCCTCCATGAATTTAGGATTACCCACATTCCAGTTCAAAATTTTGATCACGTTGAAATAATAATTATTTTTTGACTTTCTACCGTTGCCACATTGGCTTGCCCTTATTTCCATCCTAGGAGAGCGTGCAGTAGCGAGATGCCAGAAAAAATCCTTCCTGCGTAGACGGAGAAGCAAAGACTAAGCGGCATTTACCCTTGCTGCCAACTGACAAGAGTGAAGTTCGTGAGGAATCAATGTCGACACAACTTTTCTGTAACGAAGAGCCTCCAGATGTCGAACAATGGTGGTTTGGCAACAGGCAAGCTTCATAGACAATTCACGTGTGCTGGCGGCTGGATTGCATTTGAGGGCTTCACGGATATCATCATCATTCAGAACAGATGAGTGTTCAGAACGAGGTTGATTTTCAAACATAATATCTCCAGACTGGAAACGTTTGAAAAATCGATTGATTGTCCATCTACTTAGTACATCTTCCTTGAACGCAGCATGAATATTGACAGTCGCTCCTGCGACACTACGGTCTTAGAGAAACGCGTAGTAGACAATGCCTCGAAATTGCTCTTCGCTCAGAGCTGCCATACTTGTCTAGTGGGAAGAGCTGCGCGCAAATAAATTTAGATGAAAGTTTCTACAATATACTAGTTTATTATAATATTCAGAAAAATTCCGGAAAATCCCAGAACTTTCTAGAACAAAAAATTAACATTGGTGCAAAACTTTCCTTACAACCTTATAACTTCAATAAACCCTTTCATCGCCTACGAAACCTCATCGTTGCGAAATGTCGCGGAGCCGGAGGGAGCGTAGAGACTGAAAGCAACAATCGTGACTGATATTTCAGCCAAAAAAAAGACATCGCTGGTTGGTACCGGAAAAAAAGGAAGGTTTTCTCAAAGTCTATCATAAACCCGATACGAAGATGAATGATACTGACCACGACTGGGAGTTCACATGCGAAGACCCTGAAAACATGATTATGCCTGGATACAGATTTGTTCCAACCCATTGGGATGTATACAATGAGCATGAACATGTTGAGATGGAATTGATCATGGAGAAGGAGACGAAGGTGACCGAAAAGATGAGAAAGCAACTCAAGAGCGATGATCATCCAAAGAGCTGCTCTATTTTGTAGATTTTTGGTTACTGGAATAAAAGATTTATTTGGAGGCGGCAGGCTAAGAGTTTAGATTCTCAAATACTGCAGAAACCCTCCAAAAACCGGGATTTTTCCGTGGTTTCTCTGAAGTTTTTCCGGAATTTCGCTGGAGCTTTTCCCGGTTTTTTTCCGGAGTTTTCCCCCGGGGTTCTCCTGATTTTTTTCCTTTTTTTTCCTTTTCCGGGATTTTCCGGTTTCACAGTAAATTTTTTGTACGTACAATTTTTTGCTCGGTTTCTAC